TCAGTATTCCCATCAGAGCAGTAATGAGATAGCATTAGCTCCTCCTCTTTCAATTAATAATGAGTTTGTGGGTGTGGCCCACCCACCCTTAGCTCCGCCCATTCTTCCTGATTCTGTCAATCCTCAGTATTCCCATCAAAGCAGTAATGAGATAGCATTAGCTCCTCCTCTTTCAATTAATAATGAGTTTGTGGGTGTGGTCGAGACCAACGCCCACCTAACAGGGCGGAGACTAACTAACGCTGACCTTGCTGATTCTCTACCAGCACCTAATGAGGTCGACCCTGTTAATTACCAATCTATCGAACCAGTATCTACCGAACCCGTCTCACCTCTTGACGAAGAGAGAGAGATTACTGAAGGTGATTCTAATCCTCCATCAGCTGCTCCCTCCCTCTCCTCTCTCCTCCCACTGGACACTGGTGACGCCCAGCGATCAGCTCTGATGGACTCACCTGTACAACTGGTACCTCCTTTGTCTCTAGGGGAGGAGGTACCCACATCTACTGCCACTGCCGGGGGTAACGTACATGTACATGTACAACCTGAAGGACAGACACTCTGTGAGTAATAGAGAGGGGGAGGGGCCGGGTCTGGTAGTAGGAAGTGTAATTGTGGCATCTTTAAATTTATTATTATTATTGTTGTTGTTATTATTATTATTATTATTATTATTATTATTACTGCAGGTCATCAGCCGCCAGTTACTGTCCCTAAAGGTCCAATGGATATTACTCCTCCTGATGGTGAACCAACCACTACTGCCCCTTCCCTTTCTCTGGCTCCGCCTACTCCAATAACGTCTGTACCTCCAACTGTCTCTCTTGCATTCTCTTCAATTGCTCCACCCACTTCTATTTCAGCCCCGCCCTCTAATCTAAGACTATCGGACAATCCCTCAGACCCTCCCCTATCAGCATTCTCTCCTCCCAGCGATAAACAGACCACGCCTACTTCAACTCTACCTCAAGCCACACCTACTTTAGAGCATAAGGTACAAGAGGTACCACCCGATAGACCAGGGGAAGTTCCTCCTCGTTCCAACGAGGAGGAGAGAGGGAGCAGTCGGCTCTCCCCTCGTCAAGATTATGAGGGACACTCACAAAGCATGTATGATAGGAGATATGATCATTATGACCACACCCACTACTACGATAGGTACAACACTAGTTACTATGATGACAGGGACTATTACTATAGGAACCAGCAGCATAGATATGGTGATAGAGATCACCGGAATCAATATCGCGTCAGAAATGATTGGAATGAGTATGATCGTGCTAGACGTCCTGATCCCAGGTATCACTGGAATCAGAGATATGATCGATATCATGATTACTATGATCCGAGATATGATTGGAGAGACCAGGAGAGGTACAGATCAAGAGATGATCGCTATGATATGAGATATCAACGTGAGAGACACTACGATCAGCAGCATCAGTATTATTATCAAGATGGAAGAGGTTATGCTGACCAGACCTACTATGACGAACAGGGATATCCCCTTTCTTCAGGATATTCTCAGGATACTTCAGTAATCTATAGTCAGGATAACAGTTATTATGACGGTGAAGCAACTCCTTATGAATCCACTCATATTGAAGCTCCGCCCACTGATAGCTATGGAGGACCTTATCCACCGTATATTGATGATAGGTACCCTGTAAGCGGGGCTTATGATCAGCAATATGAAGGTAATCATTGGAGGAATAATGAAACTTTTTATTACATTTTCTGATACATATTGATTCTCTTATGCTGTTTAGAAAGTTTGAGCTGATTCCGACTTCAATTTTTCAAGTTACAGCCATTTTAAGAAAACGTCAAAAATCTGAAAAATACCCAAGGCTATAGTCCATGGTTTTTTTCCAAAAAATGGTCAAAAAATGACCTCCAATTTTTATTACATTTTCTGATACATATTGATGTCCTTATGCTGTGTAGAAAGTTTGAGGTGATTCTGACTACAATTTTTCAAGTTACGGCCATTTTAAGAAAACGTCAAAAATCTGAAAAATACCCAAGGCTATAGCCCATGGTTTTTCCCAAAAATGACCCCAAAATCACCCCAAATTTTTATTACATTTTCCGATACATAATTAGGTTATTTAAATTATACTTTAATTTCTAGTGCCTCCAGCTGCTGGTTCCCCCTCTCCTCCTCGGAGGGATACTCCTCTCTGCTTCTGTTTCCCCCATGTTAGTGTCAGGTTTAGCATCGGAGGGCAACTGGTCACTGGGTCGCCGGTCAAACCGTCCGAACATGTACCAGCCATTGTCCACATACACTCTTTACAGGTAAGATCAGAGTATCATGTTCTTAATGATATCTCTATTTGTTGGTTTTAAAATAGTCTTTGGTACC